TTCTGGTAAAAGGTAAGGCCTTATTTAAAAGGGCAACAATATCATGGGAAAGACAGTACGAGCTGAAAGAAGTTCAAGAAAGGTTTTCAGAAACACAAGTAGAGACTTTCTTCTCTGATTTTATATCCACCAAATTACTATTATGCTAAAGCAAAACACTATGATGTTAATTTCTAAAAAAAAAAAAAAAATGCATACAAACATTTAAATACAGATGCTCCTCAACTTAAGGTGGACATAAACCTGAAAGAAGTTGAAAGTATCTCAAGGTGAAAATGCATTTAAACATTGAACACCATAACTTAACCTAGCCTACCTTAAACATGCTCAGATGACTTACATTAGCCTACAGTTGGCAAAATCCTTTAACACAATCCATACACTGTAGAGTATCAGTTGTTTACTCTTGTGTTTGCATGGCTAACTGGGAGCTGCAGCTTGCTGCCTCTGTCCAGCCTCATGAGAGAGACCTACCGCATGTAGCTAGCCAGGAAAAAGATCAAAACTCAAAAGTCAAACTACAGATTCTACTGAAGGCATCTGGCTTTCATACCATCAGAAAGCTGAAAAATCTTAAGTGAAACAAAACTATCGTCAGTTGACAGACAAGTCACAGAGCACCAAAAAGAGAAAATCCAGCAGATTCTGCCCTTGGGGTTTTGGGGTTATGAGTACTAACTGGTCTGGTTCACCTTCACAGGACAGTTAGTACCTAGCATAGGGTTTTGTACCTATGAGAGACTCAAGAAATGAGATCTGTTGAAACGAATAGAAGGGTTTGCTCCATTTATGACAATTACTTGATCACCCTTGCCCCCTGTGCTTTTTGTACTTGTATTCTGAGAAATGAAATAATCGTGCTATGATGTGGTGCATCACATAATTTCAGTATGTATGTGTGTGTGCGTGTGTGTATATATATTTTAGGGGAGGCAACCCTTGGTTGACCTCACAGATTGCAAGGACCTTGTCAGCTTACAATCCCTTATTTTTTATTTTTTACGCCTACAGCACCTGGTCTTCCTAGGTGGTCTCCCATCCAAGTACTAACCAGGCCCAGCCCTGCTTAGCTTCCGAGATCAGACAGGATCGGGCTTGTTCAGGGAGGTGTGGCCGAAGACTAATTTCGATATTTCAACCACGAAATTCAATTGCGACAAGGTCTAGCCTGGAAATTATTGCATAAACAAACAAACAAATAAATAAGAGGAAGGAAACAACAGATTTATGACATTACAGCCATTTTGTCCAGATATTCTTAAAGTACCCATATTAGGAAAAGAAATCTTAGATATAAAATAAATAGCAACTCCTAAGTAATACTTGAGTCTAAAAAGAAATTCTGCTGCAATTCTATCCCCACAAGCTGATATTTATTTTTTCTTTTTCTAAATGATTCTTAAATAAACCTCACATTATGCTACCTCATTCTTTACTTCCTCCTTCTATATCATCTCTCCTTCTTCACTGCTCACCCAGATCTATCTATCTTTTGTAAAATAGCTCAAGTTTCTCCTCCTCCTTGAAGCCTTTCTTGTTCAGTACCTAAAATCTCTCTCTTTTCTAACTGTACCGCCACGAATTTACTGCCATGAATTTACTGGTAAGTCACAATGTTGTGCCTTTCTTCAGGCAATTCTGCCATTCAGAATTTTGCATAAATGCTTGTGTGTCCAATCTCCCAGTTGACTCGTGGGCTCTTGCAAACTGGAAACATCTCTTCTTTTTATTATTTAAAGTGGTAGCTTTCAGATTTTCTGAAACATGAGGCATACTAAGATATACGTTTTTACATCATAGTCTAGTGTGTACATATGTATAAGTATATATTTCTTTAAAAAGTTCAATAAACAATACTTATTTACTCTTCTAGTCTGTTTTACTCTTTTATTTTTTCAAAAATAAAATGCTATCATATGCAATAAACTGACTTCGTAATGGGTTGTGACCAGTTCTAGAAGGATGCTTATTGATTACTACTATAGGATTGTTGTATATACTTCCTTGACTTAAAAAAAAAAAATTTAAATTGTATGTGGCCTTCGGGCTCTCTTTAGCCCCTGCTCCTGAGTTATTTTTTTGTTTATTCAGTTTCTCTTTTGGAGTCACCTGGGACAATGAAATGCTTACAATATACAGTATTTTTCATCCTTTTGCTCTGAGTGTTGTTGTCATAAAAATAAGATTCCCTGAACTTCTATAAAACTCAAATCTCTATTTCTTCATTCTCTTTTATTTTCACAATATGCAAAGTAGGTGGTAGACATTTTGTGTGTGAAGAAATTGAGGCATAGAGATTTATGGCTTTCTCAAGGATACATCTCTCTTTTAACCAGGCTATTATAAATTAAGGTAAATACGATTTCTAGATATTTGAAAGATATAAACGTGGTTAACGTGAACAACGCACAGCCTCATTATGAATGCAATTTACCTAACTTCTCCAGATCAAACAGTTGACTGACCAGATGAGTTAGTGGCTCTTCTGGACTTCAGTCTGATGATGGATTTGCTTCCTTCTCTATCCCCATCTTTCCATCTTTACCTACTCAGTTTTTCAGTTGCCTATAGCTACTTGTTCTTCCTGGGGCTTTGCATATTTGGTCACAGCTTTTCTCTCTCTCTACCACACTAGTTCCTCTTGTCCTTCATATCCCTGGGAACTGTCCTTGTCCTCTCCACCTCCACAACCTGGCCTCCACAGCTCCCTGTGCTCACCTTGTCATAGCACTTAACAAGTTGTTCCTCCCTCTCTCCCAAGTTTTGCAGGCTAAGACTGTGTCTTGTGCACTCTTCGGTTCCACAATCTAGAACCATGTTTAGCTCAGGATAAATGTATGTTAAATGCATGAATGAATCAATAAATGAGAGCATAAAGGGCAGAAACAGCTACCACTGAAAGAGCTCAAGTCTGAGCTGGGGCTGAAGTTGTATGTCTTGATTCTCTGAGGACAATTTTTTATGATGCTATAATTCCATCACTGATAGTTTAATGCTTCCCTGTAAGCTGCAGATTTTGTGATGAGATTCATACAGTGAAGGATGGTTGTATCTAATATATTCTTTTAAGTATATTTGAGACACAATCAAAGATCTGTTTCAAGGACAAATAATAAAGGGTATCGGGCAAGCATATTAAGGCAATTTAAAAAAATCCAAATTTCAAAAGCAGTTTGTTGGAACCCACCTGACATCTAATTGAGACTGATCTGATTGATATCATGCTTCAGTCTTCCACTTCTCACATGAAGCTATGCACTTAGGATTTTTGTCCTCATCATTTTCATAAAAGTCTAGTTAGTGATTAGGTGAAGCTTCACCATAGCACAACACACTCTACATGAATCTCCATGACTTCCTCTGCACTATTTCCAAAATAAATTCTAATGACATAACATCTACTTGCATGGCAAATACTACATTTTTTTCTGTTTATGAATCAACGTCCTATTCCCCCTACTAAGCATGCACAAACTCAAAAAATATTCCTCATAATTCTAGTTCAAAAGAACACTGTCTAATACAAACTCCTGCTATTTGCATATAGCAACAGAGAGATTTTCTTCTTTATGTTGTGACTCATGTATCTTTATTCCCACAATTGTTACTCAGGGTAGGCCAATGGTGAACACAATGGAAAAGAAAGAATAGTTTATAACTGGAAAATAAGCACATTTGGGAGAAGTATACTCAAATCATTATCAAAGTAAAATATGCAGCAGCACCAACAAGAGCAAACAAAAGCCCACGCAAGAGATGTGTAAATATTTCATGAAGCTAAGCCTTAATCAACTCTCTCTCCAAATTTTGCTAGTGTTGTAAACACTTCAGTTTCTTACAGTCCCACCATGACCCAGATTCCTTGCAAAAACAAAATGCAAACATAGACCGATGGATCTTTAACAAAGGTCTTGTTAAAAATATTTAGATGGAACATATCCACGGTATTGCTGTAACAGGAAGAAGATACCTTAATAAAATGTGGTTGCTTCTTGGTGACTCTCAGAGCTCCGTTTCTCCCCTCTCCCTCCAAACTCTTGCCTTTTCCCCCACCGTTTTTGCTGCTTCCTGGTCATTCAGATCCTCTTAACCTTGAACTGCCTACACTTAAAGCAGAGATTCCTCCCAATGCCCCTCCAGAAGCCCCTTTAAACTTGACAGGGATTTGCCTGAATACTACCCAAAATTCACTTTCCAGTGTCTAAGAAGCCCTCTTTTTTCCCCTTTCACTGTCCATTGTTGCGTCTGAAATTTTGCCTATATCTTTTAGATCTGCCTGGATAGCATGAAGATCTGTTGTGTGTATTGGCTGATGGTATTCAGATATTTTCCAAAATCCGCTTCCAAAGAACCATTTCTATAGCCTCTAGTACCCTGATTTAATCTGGTTCCAAAGTTCACCTCTAGATACTGAACAGGTCTCTACAGTGATTTTCCTTTATCAACCTCTGCCCGCCCTTCTTCTCTCTCCACCTATCTCAAGAAAGACTATATATATGTAAACGTGTTTGTATATACACACAAACGCATATATGTTATATATTAACTATAGTGCTTTGACCTGAAAGAGAATAAGCATAGGAAAATGAGAAACATGCCAGTGTAACACACACACACACACACACACACACACACACACACACACCCTCCCTATTGGGACATTCAGTGTGCAGACCCCATTGATTACAAATACCTCCTTCTTCTCCCCACCCTAAGAACAAAAACGGAAGCATCTTCTTCCATTTACCTTCAATGCCAGAGCCTACGGAAGCAATGACCTTGCAGAGAAATTCATCACCTGTGAGAAAGACAGCCCCTCCTGGAGCGCAGCATGGGATGGGGACAAGAGCAACAGGCAAAGGATTACCAGGTAAAATGTGGAACCGAATCCATTCCCTATCAGTACCAAGCACGCCTCTGCTCGGGTCCCCGGGGATTAGACGCTGGGCAGAGGTGGCGCGGGGGGCGTCTCCTTCCGTGGCCGCCGGTCGCCTGCCTACCTGCTCTCGCCAGGCTCTCCCCGGCGCCGCGGGACCACTGCCTGCGCTGTGGCAGGGGCTTCCCGTCGCATATCCCAAGCAGAAGCTTTCGGCGCCACACGGATGGCTCCGGTGTGCTCGGGATCGGCAGTCCTTTTCAGACCTGTTCCGGGAGCGAGCTGGGTGCTTGCAGGAACTGAAATTACTATGCAAAGAGCAGAGGCGGCGCGCCGAAGCCGGGCGGAGACCGGGGGGCCGCCCCCACCGCGGGGCTGCAGCCGCTGCCGCCCGGCACGGAGCCAAATTGGAGGTGGGAGAGCAGGTGCGGGGGAGCTCATCCGTCAGGCCCGCGATGCGCACGTCTGTCCTCGCAGGGCAGCGCTGCGGGGCCTGAGCATCTGAGCAAGGGGCGGCAGCTTCTCAGGCGGCTGCAGCCACAGCAGCAGCAGTAGCAGCAGCAGCAGCAGCAAGACGCCGAGCTCCGCCCCCACCGCACCCCCGCCCAGCCTTCCCTGTCCCGGGGGAAGGGGCTGCAGCTGCGGCTGCTGCGCGCCAAGGTGGGTAGCTGGGCAGGGGCTGGCAGGTTACTGCTCTGCTGCAGGGAGACGAGCGGCAGATGGAAAGTTAAGAAAGAAATTAAGGCAGAGGGCTGGGGCAGAGAGCCACTCAGCAGCCAT